CATTATAAGTATCTAATAATTATTAGTGTAAAAAACTTTAGTATTTTAATACTGTGTTATGTACTGACGTCCCGACTAGATACATATTATATATGTATATATATGCATGTATATATTAAATCAGYCAATGACCTGGGAATTTGGATAGGACTTAGATGGCTCGGGCAGACCGGTGAAATACCTAAGAGAAATCGTTATAGTAATAAATTATGAAATTAAACATAAATAGCAATTTGAAATTGAAAAATAATCAGTGAATAATAAAATTAGTATAGACCTTGTTTTATAGTTCTGAGAATTATATATATATATTAATAGATATTATATAGTATGACATAATATCATTGACATTATTTGAGTGTATAAAATTACACTAGTACACTAGAACTACGTACTTTTATATCAATGTAGCGAGCTGTGACTTTACCTATATTTACCTATAAATCCATAATAATAATAGTGATAGAGCGCAACGGCGTAATGACAATTATATTAATAATAATAATAATAATTCATGTGGCATTATATATATCACTAATCATATTAATATTCATTAAAGTAGGTCAATAGTGTGTTTTGCGTAAACGGGTATCTCACTATCAAATAAATGTGTAAGGGACATCCGGTTGTGTGGCACGTGTAGCATTATGACCCTGAATATGATATATACGGGGATATTAACTGACGCGGGGATTAGGGATTTTCTCTACAAGAGGAGCTCGTCGACGACACGATCGTCAGGCGTACAATAAGACGACTAGTGACTTGGACGGCCAGAAGACCACACTACACTCAGTCACATCTCGCTCAGCCATAATTAATTATTTTGACTCAGACGAAATTCTATTTAAAATATTATTTGGACTTGGTCGAATTTCATTAAATAACTGTTTGGGCTTAAATACATTTATACTATTACAATAAATCATCAAGAGTTGTCTATCTTTCATCTAACTAAATTTATTGATTTTCCGACTGRGGATCGTTACATCAATAACAGGATACCACAAGGCGACTGTGCGAGCGYGGGACGTCGCTGTTTCCTGCAGGAATTCGTATGGGCGTGTTTTACGATAAACGTCGGGATAGTCTAAACAAAAAACGATATCTTATCGTTGGGAGAGGAGAAGTAAAGAATYAGGCCTATATAGGAGAGACTCGAATGGACTAAATTCAGACGTGAACTGTCCGAGTCAGTACGAGCACCTTCATGACAGCCAATCTCTTGAAATTGTAATTAGGACCTTTGAAATATTTCAATCGAACGAGTTTGGGGCTTAGAAAATATTCGAASAATCTGGTTTTTCTGAATAGGTATACCAATGAACATCAMTTGGTTGAACTATCTCTAGGGTTTATAATAAATTTATTGRTGTGTTAAACTCAGTCAAACTTAATATAATTAATTAATTAATTARTAAAAACAACTGTATGTAGGATCGCTACAACTATTTAATATTTAWTTTCTTACTCAAATAAGAGGTGTTGTTTTACACCGAAATGTTAGATAACAAGTTWTTTCAAAACTCCATTAAATTAGTACCTATACATGGTAAATATAGTACATATAATATAGATGGCAGTAATGCGAAAGCAATTCCTGCGGCGTTGTCGGTTGAACCTTAAAAAAAAAGTACATATATGCATATATATGTACCTACTGAAAATTATATTATTAAAACATCTTAAAATGTATAGTATCAAGTTTTTGTTATGTAAAAAACGTTATCCTATCATCACATGGAGAAAAAAAGTTCTATATATGAGTATACCGACTATAACGTAATAAATCACAAAACCACATTATAATGTGTTAAGTTGACATTCTTGATATTTTCAATTATAATATTAAGACGGACTACTCGTGTTCTCTGATTTTCATCTTGAAAAAAATATTTAAACTTTCCAAATCATAATATACTATGTTCAATTTATATTTTCGTTATTTGAATTGTAGCTTTAAAAATATAATTCAACAGTATATACAGCTAAAATATTTAATCAATCAAACATTATTTAAATAACATATCTAGATTATTCCTATCTATAGTTTTGCCTAAGTATAATTTTGGTTCATGGAGAATTCTAGTGTACCTATATTTTTTAGAAAGAAAATTTAAAAAAAACCATGATTTTAACGTAGATTATCGGGATAAGGATCACCTGTTTGAGTTAAAAGAAAATGGTTGACGGTATGAAATAATAATAATAATAATATGTAAACATTTAACTGCACTTTTCACTAAAAAATATGTATATTATAACTAACTACACCATAAATAATTGAATATTAATATATATAATATTATATATACATTTTATTTTGTGTAAAATAGATTGTGTTTGAATTCAGGAATAATAGTATACTATACTATAATTATAATTATAACACATACTAATTATCTGAGCGAGTTTATTGAATTTATAACCAGTGTATTGCCGTATTGGTATTCATTCAACACAATAGCGAAAGGTGGGTGACGAACTACGGTTAATTGTTAAACAGTATTAATATACTTATTATTACGACGACGTGGACACGTGGTAATAAAATCTAATTAACATAGGTACTTTAGTACTTATTACTTATAGGTATAGTACCTATATCAGTTKACAGTAGATTATATAATTTTGTCTAGTTGGTAGTTTGGTACACAATATTTACCAATCAAAAATTGTTAATTATTTATTTAC